ATGAAGAAGCTATACAACAGTTGATCTGCGACCGGTACAGTGTTATGTTAAGTCACAGAGATAAGCTATGATTTGGAAAATCAAAACTGGTGGATAAGGACGAAAGAACGGCACAAGTGCTTGAATAATTATGGCTAAGGCTTAGATATTTATTAAAGATAAATTTACAATAGATAAATACTCAGATCATACAAAGCTAGCCGAGAACATACAATGTTTGTACAAAAACACCTCTCAAATGCAAATTCCATGAAGATTGCACAAATAAGAAGTTGAAGAATCGTAAAGCTTTATCGTGAGTAATAATCAGCATGCGAACGAACATCTTAATTTCTGTCAGGTCCTCAAATATTAACAAGAATCAAATAGGCAATTTCGGTATACATTTCCAAACTAGGCTTTTTTAGATCGTTGAATTCTGACGAGAACAGGATCGACTAGGCTGACCAGGCACGGGATGAGAACGAGGCCATGTATTACACAGAGTGTCATGCACAAAATCATAGTTTTTACGAAAACCTGAAGGTAATGAAATATTATTAGATGCAGAAAATTAGGAAAGATGATTGGTATTACCTGCGACATGTATATGGTAACTAAAAGGAGAGCCAATACACATAAACTCGTACTCAGCGAAGCTTGTAGCGCTGGAAATCCTACAGAGGAAAGACAATAGTGCAATCGACGTCTGGCAGTGATTGGAGGTGCTATATGCGCACCTAAAAATCACAAAGATTAAAATGAAATAATTTTCATCTCCTCCTGCCCTCACCAGCGCTATAGTAATGATAGGAAACATGTGCTGGTATATCCACAGAGAAGCCGATTGAAATGATTAATGCAGCCATCACAATAGGATCAAGTTCTGTTCCAGTCCATGACAAAGTTCCCAGAATTCCTAAAAACATGAACAAATGAGATAACTTGCAGACCAATAGGTTAAATACCTACCTGTCATTATGCTTGCAATGACTAGAGTGGTAATGAGGACAGTTGGAATATCCCACATGAAAATCAAACATACGATAGCCATGCAACAAATTGTTGCCACACCAGACTGCAAATATGGCTATGTTGGTTTTGGTAAGGTCTGATTTTGAGTAATTTATACATAAAATAGCATGAAAATATTTTCTTTAAAAATTTGGTATTCTATCTCTCCAAACTCTCCTTTTCAAATAATTTACGTTTCATTACATTTTAGCGCTGTGCTTTTGCTCGTGTGCATTTCGTGGGCAGCTGATGAATGCCTTAATGCCATTAAAGCCATAAATGAGTACCAAAAGTTTTTATAGTCACTTTTGTGGAACGCAATTGTCAGAGTCAGCATGTTTTTATGCAATAACATCGTTGTATGTCCGGATACATAGTAATGATATGGAACAATACGTGTAGATGAGTAGCTAGCTGGATTTTTAGAATTTAATGTCTGACTTTTGAAATAAAAGAGATGTGCCCATGAGTATCGTATTGCAAAACCGATGCTTTTCTTGTTTCGTTTCTTTGCTAAGTGTAGGAAGTAATATAATGTTTAAAAGAGCTATCGCGCGTCTAATCTTGGACCAAACTTTGAGAAATCTGGAAGTGTAGACATTTGTTTTGGTCTCAGATCTAAATGCGAATCCAAACTCGGGGAGACTCCAAGAAATTCGTGAAGGTATTGACTTTACGTTCATCTCACAGCAAATAATTTGAATATCTGTAGTCATTGCCTAAGAGAAGGAGAGGAAATTAGCGAAAGCTTGGATGCCATATCGAGCCGCATGCAGTGTATTATTTTATTGAGATATTTCCTCTCAAATTGAGGTATTCGCTATCTTTGTACACATCGTCAATGATCTTTTAATTTGCTGAAATCCCTCAAAATCCTCGAAATGTTTTAAACGAGAGCAAGTTGGTTGCTCATAAATCTTCAAAACAAAGGCATATAGCACCCTCTGATAGTAGATTTGGTTTAAAATAGGCTATAGTGCACCGAAATTTCGGAAATCCCGAGTCTTGACTGCCGCAAAGGCTTTTAGTAGAAGACCCATTAGTTAAGCTATTATAAAATAGTCGAAATACCGAAGGGAATGGCAATAAGTTTAAAGATGATCCAAGGATTAGAAAAGCCTTGACTTTAGCAGCGCTTACCTAACCTAACCCTAAAAAA